AATAATTTCTTTTCAACTAAATATAAAACTTAAAGTATATAAAAAAGATATAATTAAGATAATTTCTTTTTACATAATCAGGATTAATAAAAAATGAAACATTGAAGAAATTTTAAGTAACAGTGCAATAGTGTAACTTATATTGAGAACTACATAATAATTTATTAATTTTTAAAGATTAAAATCATAAAAATAAATTTTTATAATAGAGAAAGAAAAAACATGGCAAGGAGAAGATACAGCCCATATATGATATAATAAAAAATATATGGTTAATGATTTGTAGAGATTTAAACAAAAAAATCTATAAAAATTTAAAATATATGAGCAAATATATAAACAAATATAAATAAAAATAATAATATAAATTAAAAAAGAAAACAAAAAAATTTAAAATTGGGACATGTGAGATATTTTTAATTATTCTTTATTTATATTAATTATTAAATAAAAAATTATTTTGAAAGGGTCCATTAAGAGATCATATTAAAAATTTTGTGGTATAAAAAAATTTTAAAAGTTTTGGGTGCAGCTCAAGGACGCTCCGTTCTTGCTTGCAAAATAAAAACTAACTAACGTTTTATTACCAAATATATGAATATCCTCAAATTAAGGAGACAATATCTTGAAGATAATTTTTTTATGTCTTTTTGCTTTAACTGTACTCTAAGGAAGTCTATGATTAATATATTTGTTTATTTGCTTTTTATTTTATTTGCACACCAAGTAAGTTTAGATTTAATTAGTTGTTATAAATAGCCCTAGGTAATATTTTATTTTTATCAAGCAATATAATTTTTTGCTTAGATTGATTTTAGGTATTTTCTACATGGTATCATAGCCTCTTAGATAATTTATTAATGTTGGTCTTATTAATGAAAAGTTATGATTAAAAAGTCATAAGTAATTACTTTATTAAATATAACTTTTTAATAGTTGTATTATGAAAGGTTATTAAATATAATTTTTATAAATAGCTGTATTATAAAAAGAAACAACTTTAAAATAGTTATCTTATCAAAAGAAACAACTTCTGAATAATTATCTTACGAAAAGAAACGACTACTTACATTGAAGACATATAGGTTCGTTTATTATATAAATAACAATTCATGCATTGCCATTTTCACAATTTTAATAAGTGTGAGAAAAATTTTATTGTATGTCGGAGGTTGAAAAAATACCTTAAGAAAAACGTTAATTCACGCTCTCAAAGTCATACTTTTCTTTCCTCTCAAAATTTCTTTTTTTTTTTCTCAAATATTTCTAACAATCTTAAGATATTTTTTAAACCTTTGTCATAATCTTTTCATGATGAAGAATGGATAGGATTCAAGTGTGAAGGTTTACTTCCAAAATCAAGAAATAATCAAACTCAATAGATTCGATGGAATAAATTTTACTAGATTGAGAGACAATATGGTTATTTCTAACGCAATTTTGACCTTATTTTGTTCCTTCAAGCTACTTAGTACAAAACTACTACAGTCAGGCTACATCTAATATGATTTTGACCATACTTGGATCAGAATTGGATAAAAGTGATAAACATAAAAATTATATCCATTCCTCTTAGCTTTTCAATGGTCTAAGAATCACTTTGATTGAACTTCTGTAGCTTGAGTTATGTCTGAAATATTATTACATGTTCAGTGAAATTTGCATCTAACTAATTTGTGCAATTACTCACCACTTGACCCTTTCTCTTTTGAGGACCCATAGCTAAAAATAAGCATTTTTACCATCCAAATAAGCTAAAATAACTTGAAGTAAATTAGCTTAATCATGAGTTAACTAATTAAAGAAAAACTAAGAAAACTACTTAAAACTTTACCTAAACTCAAAAATTTAATCCTTTTATCACTTAAAATATGATAAAATAACTCAATATAATATAATTATTACTTTATTTACATACCAAGTAAATTTAAGTATAATTAACTATTATAAAAAAGTCCTTAAAAAATGTTTTTATTTTTATCAAACAATTTAATTCTTTGTTTTAATTTTGAGTATCTTTTTTACATGTTCCAAAAATTGAATATATCTAGTTTTTCAGATGTAATTGCCTTCTCAGCGGACTTCATTTTAGTCACAGCACACAGTGCAACGACTAATGCAGTGTCGTGTCAATTGTCAAATCTTTTGGAAACGGAAGGATAAACGCAAGAGTTCCAGCAAGAATACTTTCCAAAAACAAAGATTTGTTCTTCAATTTTAAAATAATTCAGTATATAAAAATTGGTGTGGGATTTTAGTGTAGAGCTTGCTCGATTTTCCATTCTTCATTTTTTGTTCCAAACTCATGTTTCTCTTGACTGGTTGATCGAGCAGCAGCGCTTTTACTTGCCAATAATTGCTTGCCTTTTAGCTTTCAAGTGAACGTCGGTGGAAATGAATTAAAGCAAAAGACTGGTTGGTCTGACTACTCACCATTCGAAACCTCCTTTTTCCTTTGGCTTGTTCACTTGTCAGGCCACACTTGCCTATATACCACGCAGAGTGATGGTCTGCGTATCGATAATTGTTGAAGAGCGAGATAGGGTTGAAGGTAAATGACTGGTTTTCTTGTCTTTCTGAATTAGTGGTGGCAAAAGAAGGTTTACGCACCAACAAAAACATGAAAACAAACGAAAGATGACAGATTGGAGGCAGGCAGCTAGCTTACCGAAAGCTCTTTAATTTGCATTATTTGCGTTTCCCTGGTTCCTTTTTCCACTCTCTTACCTGTACACCCTGTGCCCTGGCCCGGCAACTATTAAGGATCAGGGCAGACCCTACTTCAATATTATTTCCTCTAACCTTTTTAGAATCTTTGTCGGAACAATGCTTTGGTTGTCTATGACAACGAGTCAAAAGAGTAACCGAAAGAGTCTTTGCCTTATATTTTATTTTACTTTTCCTGATAATTTTGCCTTCTGCTATAACGTTGGATTTGGGATAGATATTCTTGGACAGATTATTTGTACATATAAAAGAACATCAATGATTGAACCCAATAAGAGTAAGTATTATAGTTTTCAATTGCATGTTATATTTTGATTTAGCATTAGATTTTACATGGTGACATGATAAGAATAATAGTATGCAATAACTTACTGTATTTTTATACTGTCATTAGACATTCCTGTTCTCACGTAATGAAATATTTTAATTTAATTCATTCACCTTCAAGTTGAGTTTGAATTTTATAATATTAGAATCAAGTGCCTTGACACTTTATTGAGTTTTATTTTTTAAAATTTTTTAATACTTTATACATATAAATAATATAATAAATTTAATTATATATTTTAAAATTTTATTTAAAACTCGAACTCAAGTCAAGAAATTTGAGTTTCTTATATAAATTAATGATAATTTAGTAAGCTCAAGTAACCTGGAGAGGTCCCATATTTTTATTATAATAATAATAATAATAATAACAATAAAATTAATTATATTTAAAATATATAAAAATTAAGATAATTAATACAAAATTTAACTATTCACTTATGTTTAATAAATATTTATTTTCTCTTATTTCCAAATCTCTATTACTTTTGAACTAATTATCTCACTTTCTATTAAAAATATTTAAAAAATAAAAAATAAAAAATAATTAATAAAATAACATATTCTCTCACTTCTTTTACAATATACCTAATAAATTTTAATTTTTTATCACTTTTAAATTCTTAAAGTGTTATTAATTTTCAACTATTTCTTTTATTTTCAATCAACTAACAATAATATATATTTAATGATCTCTAGCGTCAATTTTTTCTTACCTATTTCTTTTATTTTCAATGAACTAATAGTAAAACGTAATTAATAATTTTCAATAGTTATTTTTTTCTTATATATATAATCAATTATTATTTTTATTTATAATATTCACTTTTAAATTCTTTTTTTTCCATTTGCTCTTTCTCTCTTTAATTTCAAATTTTCTCAAAAGAATACGTAAGATACCTATTATGTTATTATTTTTATAAAGTCGTGAGTCTCATTTAAGATTTGCTATAAGCATTCAACTTTGAGTACTATTGTTTTAATCTTTGCAGTTTTTTTACTTTAACTTAGAATTTATATTGTATTGTTATATTATCTTTATTTTATATAATAGTTAATTTATTTGAATTAAAATTTTTAATTGTTGATTTTATATTAACTGTTAAGGAATATAAAATAATTATAATAGTTAAATATTTTTGACATTTCATGATAAATATTTGAATATATCAAATTGAAAATATGAATTCAATTATTCAAAGTTAATGTTTTTTAATTTTATTAAAAAAACCTCATTTAAATATTTTGATTTAAGCTTTTAAAATTATTGAATGGTTCCTATCTACTATTTTTTGAGCTGAGCTCGAACGCAAAATTATAAAACTCCATGGTAATCGAACTGGACACTATATCAGCTCGGCTCAATTAAAAGTTTTTATGTCAAGTGTGCAACATAAATTCTAGATTGGATAGGCAACATGGATTATATGTTGGCGTATCACCTAGAATATTTTGTTATTGAAGCTTAATTATTAAAATGTACTGGTAGTTTTGTGGACTTCGGACTTCTAGGTCTAAATTGGTTGGTAAATTGGACTATTTAGGGATTAATAGACACAGCTACCATTTTGGGGCCGAACCAGTGGTCGTACCTTCGGGACGGATTCATTACACAAAAGGCCATTAGCAAAATTTGGTTAGTTTCTTTTAAGCCCAATAAAAACCTCAGCCGACGTCGTTTGGAGAAGTATTCAGTTTTCGCCCCTATGAGCATGGGCTTAGAGGCAGTCAGGCATTGAGGTTACAAATCGGTTGAAAACAATTTTTCCACTCTTTTCCAGGGGAACGGGTCTGCGACCCGCGGAAGACGAAATTCCTCCACGTGGCAGAACCCTATTGGAAGAAACAACAACGAGCTTACGCTCATTGGCCAGTTTTCACAAGAACACGTTGCCAAGAGTCTAGTCCCAAAGTAAGTCAAGTCGTAGGTGCCTCAAGCTTCGCTTGGTGTACCCTGTTGTTGTGTTTGTATAAAAGTTTAAAAGTCCAAAACCCACTTTCGAAGCACCCAAACGGAAAAAACGATCCATTGGAGAAAATAAGCAAAACCAAAGCTTAGGATTAACCCCTAATCTTTCTGGCTAAGAGGAAAAAAAAAGAATAGCATTGTGTCTTAGATATCGAAGATCTGATAAGAATTTCTAAACAATTTGTATAACGTCCGGAGAGGTCCAGTTTCTCTCCTGATCTGAAAATCCATGGCGCTTCCAAGGACGAAGCTACTTTTTCTGCTATGCGCTTTGTGTTACGCGCTCGCCGCCTTTGCAGGGTAAGCGCCTATCTCTTTCTTTCTCTTTACAAAAGTGGCGTTTATGTGCGTGAAATTTTGTGGTGATTTGATGCAGGAAGAGTTATTATGAGGTATTGCAAGTGCCGAGAGGAGCATCGGATGAGCAGATCAAAAGAGCGTATAGGAAGCTGGCATTGAAATATCATCCTGATAAGAACCCCGGGAATGAAGAGGCCACTAAGCGATTTGCGGAGATTAACAACGGTAAAATCTCGTTTTAATATGAAAAGAAAAATTACGTATGGAGTTAATTAGTTTTTCTTCTTGGGATGATTAATTGTTTTGATGAATGGTTAGCTTATGAGGTGTTGTCGGATAGCGAGAAGAGGGGCATATATGATAGGTATGGAGAGGAGGGCCTGAAGCAGCATGCTGCCAGCGGAGGCAGAGGAGGAATGGGGAGCAACTTAGACGAGTTCTTCGGCATGTAAGATTTTTGAATTTTGCTCTTTGATCAATATGACATTGCGGTTAATTGTCTTTATAGTAATATAGTATTAATTGATATGCTATGATGAGAATAAACTTGGTAAGTAATGTGCTGGCATTGTAACCCACAATCTAGGAGCCTATTAATGCATCTTATGGTATCTTAGATATGCTACCCAACTTCAGGTTCCCTATAGTGGTAGTTAGAACCTATACTTTATTGGTGATTATGTTAAATGTAAGGACGATTATGCCGAAATCATCCATAAAATGCTTGTTGTTTACTTATTTTTGGGATAACACACATTGATAATAACTGTTTTAACCTGTAAGAAAGCCTACCTAATCCTCCATTCAACTTAGTTTAAATGTGGCTAGCCATCATTTTGGAGGTAACTTTCACTTTTGTTTATGTTACTGTGAATTCGATCACCTACAATTGCTGACAAGGTGGAGCTTTTCTTTAGGTTTTTTCGTGGAGGCCAGGCAGAAGAGGAAGAGAAAATTGTGAAGGGTGATGATGTGATTGTTGAATTGGATGCAACACTGGAAGACTTGTACATGGGAGGTACTCTTAAGGTGAGAAATCATGTCTTCTGGTGGTATATGTTATCCTTGACCGAAATCTGTAACTGATCAGCTTTTGGTCATCTTGACTAGTGTGGAATCTAAAATATTTGTTCATTTATTTAATGTCATAGATAAGTTTGTTAGTCTATGTACAGCAATGTCAAGATATGCATATTATATAACCTACCAAACTTGGGAAGCAAGTTTGTAAATAAGATCATAAATGTATACGCTTTTACTTTCTCAGGATATCAGTAGGCTAAACATCATATCCATCTAATCATAACCAAAAATTTCACCTAGATACTTTACCTGACTTGTTTGTTTTGTGTACCCTTTGCAAATGGCAAAGCTAGATTCTCTCCCTTGAACTTACTTGTCAATCAGCTATAAGGCATCATAGGATCTTGTATAAAGCATATCAAGCTATGTTATGCACAGACCTGGCTTAGCTATGACCTAGATCATTAGCCAGTTCTCCTTGTCAGCCTTGTTAAAGCAGCTCTCAGAAGTGCAGAAGACAGAGCTGTTAGAGAGTGCCATTGGGAACTAATGATGCATACTTGGCAATTTTTTGTTTTGTTAACTGTTTATATTTTCCCAGGAAGCTAGTGGATCAATAAATTAGACATAGAGGCACAGGGTGTATTTTGTTCCATCTTGTCCTTAATTTAAGCCTTTGAGGGGAAATTAGGAGCTACTGGCTAGGTGCTTGCCTCTCTGTTTCTCCCCCATTTTCCCCTCCTCTCTTCAATATTCTTATTTTATTGAAAGATAACACTGATTTGGAATTACCCAGGTTTGGAGGGAGAAAAACATTTTAAAGCCTGCTCCAGGTAAACGACGCTGTAACTGTAGAAATGAGGTCTATCATAAGCAAATTGGTCCAGGGATGTTCCAACAGATGACTGAACAGGTACTGTGGCTTTATTGTTTGTCTTCTTCTTTGATATTTCAGTTCCATTTTGTTATTGACTTTTTATCTTTTTTCCTGGGCCTTTTAATGCTATGAAATATGCCGTGTGTTATGTTGCCATTGTCAAGCCTTTATAATTATTCTCAAAATTTCTTTTCTCAGGTTTGTGAGCAGTGCCAAAATGTCAAATATGAACGAGAGGGATATTTTGTCACGGTTGATATTGAGAAAGGAATGCAAGATGGACATGTAAGTTTGGAGAATTAGAATTATTTAATGTGTAACATCTTTTCATTGTTGTAGTTTTTCTCAGAGTGCATGCTGATATTGTTGCCCGGTTTTTCTTAAATAATGTTTAAATGTATAGTCATGCTTAAAACCTAAGGAAAGTGAAAGAGTAGAAACTGTTCTATGATATGAAAAGTTTGTCATCTGAAATATTTGGCGCAGAAAGAGTTGTTAATAGTACCATCAATACTCTTGTGTTTCATTTTTTTTTTATTCTTTAAATCCAAATAATTGTTCCAGATGCTCCTTTCCTCTGTCTGTGCACCTGTGCTCTCATTAAGTGATCGGAAAATGTAATCATGGTTTGCTGACTTGTTATGGCATGCTTTATTATTCAACATTTCTACTAAAAAGCAGACACAGAAATGTACTCTATTAAATCTCTACAGGGATTCTTTGATGTCCTGTCTAAATGGAACACATTGTTGTTATGCAGATTTGTTTGTTTGTCAATTTTGTCAGAATTTCTTATCCTACAATTTCTGTGGGATCTTGTAATTGTCATCATCTTATAGTATTTTTACAGTATACTAGGAGTAGGACATGTAGCTAGTCATTATTGTTGTTGGATTTGGAATAATGTTCTCTGTACATTTTATAGGAGGTGGTTTTTTATGAAGATGGTGAGCCTATAATAGATGGAGAACCTGGAGATTTGAAGGTTAGTCTCCAACAATGATTTGAAAACTTTTTAATGCTTTGGTATGGTCCAGTTATTGTGCTACATACTGGGCAAAGTCAATGTATTCATATTCAGTCCACAATCCTATGTGGCTTTTAGGTAGTATATTTGGAATTTGTCCCATTCTTGCTCACATGAGACAATTACCTTTTTGCAGTTCCTAATTCGCACTGCACCCCATGATCGCTTCAGGAGGGAAGGCAATGATTTGCACACCACTGTCACCATAACACTTGTAAGTCTCATATTTGAGGATATTTGTATCTGTCTCTGCCTTTCCTCATTACCTTCTTTTGAAAAATGGAAACTATGAACTAATTTTCATTTCCTTACTTGCTCCAGGTTCAAGCTCTTGTTGGTTTTGAGAAGACCATTAAACACCTTGATGACCATTTAGTGGACATTAGCTCTAAGGTAAGCCTGACATAACCTATTTAGCTTCATTTAATTTGTCTCAGCCAACAACTAAATGATCCAAAATAGAATTTAAACATCAATATGTTTAGGGAAATAATCTTGTAATTCATATTCAGGGTGTTACTAAGCCCAAAGAGGTGAGAAAGTTCAAAGGAGAAGGAATGCCATTATATTCTAGCGACAAGAAAGGAAACCTGTATGTGACCTTCGAGGTTTTGTTCCCCACATCACTGACGGAGGACCAGAAGGCCAAAATCAAGGCAGTTCTTGGCTAGGATAGAGGATACGATTTTTGTTGGGTCCTAAGATTGTTCCCATTGTAACATGATCTGAGGATACATAGAAACTAGGAAATCTTGGAGGGTTTCTAATTTCCTTCTCTCCCTTTCACCTATTTCCTCCCTCATTAATTAACAAAATACTTAACTTGAAATGCAGTGTCTTAAAATGTTTTTGCTCTAATACCTTCGACTGTCCATCAATTTGGAGGGGGCGTTTTTAGAACAATATTCTTTTTTGGCTCATACGAGATACTATTATCTATCTCGTTTCTTGTTGTGTTCACGAAATAGTTTTCAATGAGGAGTTGCTTCTGTAATTATTATTACTACTATTATTTTGCCTCTTTTATATTAAATCTGCGAGTTGTAATATTTTTAAATTGACCCCCCAGATCATTAATTAATTGCAAAATCGTTCCTTAACGGTTGAAACTCGCCATTCATCTCCTCCCAATACTTTGCCTATTTATCAGACTTGCACGACGAATTGAAATTATCTAAATTTAAAACGACAGCAACTTAAATTTAAAACGACAATGGCTTAAATCTGAAATAATTTAAACAGGGCATGCCTTAAAAGCCCAAAAACTATCTTTTCGGCCCAAAAGGACTGGACTGAAACTTAATCTGACATGCCCAATTATCACAGCACGGTGAACAAAAATTGGACGGGGATTCTTTGTATTGGGCTAGGGTCCTTTGGATATTGGCATGGTCTCTGTCTTTACATTGTCTGCTTCCCAGCTTCCTGCCATGGGCTGGGCTTCCATTTCTTCCCATCATCTTTTCATCCTCCCGGTTGGCTGACTTTGATAATAAGATCTCTCAAGTTACCATGTTCCTTTAGACGACAAAGACTAGTTTTATTATTATTGATTTTTACTTAATTTGACATCAAATTATATTAAATCCAAACTGTCTTAGCAATCCTCCTAGCTAGCTAGCTAGCTAGTTCCTTAAGAAGTTTCCACATGCCCACATTTTCATTTTGCTCCTAAACCCTTACAGGACCTGCCTTGCAAAGAGTAAAGCCCTCAACACACGACATTTGCTTAACCAATCAAATACTTTTTCATATGTGATCTATATTAGTGTATTTTTAAAATCAAAAGTTATGTTATGATAAAAAATTATTTTAGTTTAAAAGTTTTATCACATAAAGTGATATAATGTGTCTATTAAATTATAGACAAGTTTTTATGTGAATGATTATATCTCTTGGTAAAATAACATTCATAAGCTATAAAATATATTGAAAAGACATTACAGTTCAAAAATTAAATATGAAAAGTTATTGTTTCAAATTATAACTCAAATGTTATAATTTATGAAATGAATAGTTATTTTTTATAAGATTATTATTGAAATAATATTTTTATCTAAAAGATGTGTTTGGCAGAATAAAAGATGTCTTTTAGATAAAATTGTATCTCAATAAAAGGATTGTGTGCTTAAACAAGCGATATTTACAAGTTTATATAAAAGCTTGTTGTCATCTATTTTGACACATCAAAATAAACACAAAAACAAGAGCAGAAATATGAAGAACAAAAAAAAGTGTTGTATTCTATTAATATAAACATTTAAATTTTATCAACTATAAAAACTTTCAAATTTTTTATAATCTACTTGTTACGGAAAATAAACTCTAAAGCCAAACAACTTTGTAAATCCTCTTATATATCTAACGGTCTATATTCGTAAAATGTAATAGAAAGTTAGATGTTGACTTCATTATATCTTTAAAACTATTCACATTATTCGTTTTCGCATACTAAGTGATGATGGTAAAATAAATTTTAAAAATAATATCTATTTAAAGATTAATCTTAAAATTAATTTTATCCTTTTTGAATTCTATCTAAACCTCATTTGTACCAACAATCCAGCAGCTACCACAATGACTTCCCTGGAAAATGTAGTCCACTCGTGTCCACCTACTTGATGCTCCTCCAAGTTTAGATGCCGAGATTTAAGAACACACTTTCTTACCAAAAAGAAGCGACGCCCACCCTGACTTTATTCAATTGGACTATTATGTTAAGTTTTAAAGCGAATTACATATTTGCTCTTTGAATTATGATCAAATATTTAATTTAATATCTAAAAATTTTAAAAATTGATAATTAAGTAATCAAATTTTAATTTTGTTAAACAATTTGTACCACAAACTAACTACTTTAATTAAATCAATTATATTACCAACAAATAACTAAGAAAACTACATAAGGTGTTTGACTCTTATTAATTATTTTTTGATATCAAATTATCTATTTAATTAATAAAATTAATGAAGTACATAATATTTATAACGAGATAAAATTGATAAACTTAATCACAAGTTTATGTTTTTAAATATCAAATTGATAATTTTACTATAATTAAAATATCAAATATGTAACTAATCTTCAAAATTTAGTGTCATTGCCTCATTAAACTCATTGATTTTGCACCGCCCAATAACTATCACTTTAGCAGGATAATTAATATCGCTTTCGTCAACCTCCAGGATGTTCGGGTCCTACGCCAATCCTTTCCCAACCGTCAGAGCCTAAACAAAAATTATTTAGTAGTATTAATTTTTAATATTAAAATAGAAATTGCTCATTTATTCACCCTATTTCTAGAAAAGAAATTAGATGAACCGTTCATCGGCCACGGTTTCTTGTAACACAACATCCACATAAAAACTTTATACTATAATATTTGTTTTATTGTTTGTTTGACATCTACCGATGGCTTTCAATACAAAATGATCTCATAATGATACATAATAAATAGATTTAGAAGGTTCAATCCACGTCAGAATATTTGGGTTACTAAAATGCTTTATTTTTTTTCAATTTCAGGGTTATAATTTTTTTAAAAAGTTTGAATGAAGATAAAAATAATATATAAAAATTGAGGGACAGGTGTCGACCGCTGGCACTGAGTGGGAGGCGTGTAAAAGCCAAAGAGCAACTGTTAGATAAATCAAGCGGAAGATAGAGAGAGGGGAAGAGGGAAACTTTACGGACACGTCGGCAGGTTTTGGTTTCGAGTTTGTAGTTCATCCAGAAATGCTCTGACGTGGCAAACAGATATTCTGCCCACGCACTTTTGGAACCAGTCAGGATGGTGGTTTCCCACACGGCCCCACCTCTTCAAGCCTTCACTACCAAACTAAGGGGCCTTCGAGGGCAAACCCGACAAAGAGTGTTAACCCCATGTGCCACACTAAAACTCCATTAAACGCCGCCGTTTCCTGCGGCTCCTTAATGAAGAAACAAAATCGTTTAATCAGGTTGTTGACCTGTTTGGTAACAAACGAATTCCTAACCTTTCTTGCTTCTGTCTAAAAGCTCCCTTTCTTTTATATAAAAACGAACTTTGAAACAAAGGCTTTAAACGAGAAAACTGGTAGAAGAAACAAAGAAAGAAAGAAGCAAGAGGGAAACGACAGTAGAAATTCAAAGATTGTTGGGTTACGTTAAGGGCTTAGCGCCTTGCTTCTCGCTATTGCTGCCTGATATTGCTTTGATCTTTCAACGTAGAATTATTCAGTATTATAATTTATATTGCTAGTATTAAAATTTACGTTTTAAGAGAAGCTAAAGAAACCCGTAAGCGAATCGTGATTGAGAGAAACAAGAATGGATGGTCTTTGTTTGAAAACGGGGATTCATGGTATGGCACCGGCGATCTCGGTGACTGGGGGCCTGGAAAGTAGGACCAACGCAACGCAAGTGAGTGCGGTGGGGCGGTCGCCGGTGGATCATAAATCGACGTCCGCCTCGGTGGTGCCACCGCAGAAGACGGCGTTTTCCATGTTCTCGTTCCGGTACCCATTGAAATCTTTGTGGCCCAGAGGTGGAGCTGGAAATAACAAGAGGTACAACGGGATGGCTGCTGACGACGCCGTTTCGGTGGAGAATAAGAGCAATGAAGAGGCGAGAAAAGTGCACGAGGAGAACGTGAATGGCGGCGAAACGAGGGGGACTTCGGAAGGGCAAAATGGGAATTGGGTTTTGAAGATTTTGCACGTGAGGTCATTGTGGAGAGAAGAGACAAAGAGCGTTGATGAAGAAAGGGAGACCGAAGAAGAAAATAACCAAAACGGTATCGTCAATGAGGAGGAAGAAATCTGTGAATTTTGTAGAGTTGATGATGATGATGATGATGAAGAAAATGAAAAAAAGGAGATTGAAATTGATAAAGATTCGTTTTCCAAGATGTTACGGAGGGTGTCTTTAGCTGAGGCTAAGTTGTACGCTCAAATGTTGTATCTTGGAAGCTTGGCTTATGCTATTCCAAAGATTAAGGTACGAACTTAGAAATTTGTTTTTCTTCGTTTTCATTCTTAATTTGTTTATTCTTTTTAAAATGCGGACATGTGTTTGTGAATCGATAAAGTTAGACATCATTCCGGGGTTCCTAAGGCCTGAGATTAAGTAGTTCAATCTATCATTTAATCGAAACAAACCAGAAATTTCAATCTTAAATCGTTAAGATCCTTTTACAAAGTTTTAATTTTCTATTAAAGCCAAATTGGGACGCCGGGATCTAGCTGAAGTCTTTCTGCACATATTGTCAGCCAATTGGCTCATCATGATTGTTACACGAAAAGTCCTAGAAATCAAGTTCTGCAAATTGGAAAGTTGTTGCTGGTAAAGGTTTAAACTTGATTGTTGTATCTTTCAAGGGTTTAGGGTGGTTTTGACTCGATGGTTGCATCTTTGAGTTTGTGAAACTTTTGAGTTTTTTGGTGCATTAAGCCAAACTTTATATTTGTGTAATTTATTTCTATTTGGAAGATAACACCTTTCCATCTTTGATGGGTGTGCTCGGTATTTCTTTATTGATGAAATAGTTGTTGCATCCTTGAAGAGCAATTTTCTCTGTAAATTTTACCTTGGCTCACATTAGTAATATATCTATATCTACTGAAAGTTGAGTTTAATACATCAGCAGTTCTATTTTGTCTATGAAAAATAACATGGTTTTTTTTTTCTCCTTCATCTTCCTTTTGGCGTTAAATTTAGCCTGAAAGTCTCCTAAAATATCGTGGTTTACGCCTGGTAACTTCATCAATAGAGAAGAGAGAATTGGCAATGAAAGCTGAGAAAAATCATGAGAAAACTGGTGTGTCCTCTGAGAATCAAGAGTTAGAAAGGAATAGAAAGGATGACAAAGTAGGCGATGAACAGAAAAATATTGGCTACCGGATCAGCGCCTCTGCTGCATATCAGATAGCTGCGTCTGCTGCTTCGTATTTGCATTCCCATACAAAGACCATACTTCCATTCAGATCATTGAAACCTGAAAGCAGTAAGGATTCATCTGATGATGGCAGTAGAAGTGACAGCAGTGCTGAGATGAGAAACTCTGATGTGGCCTCTTTAATGGCAACCACAGACTCTGTGACTGCCGTGGTTGCTGCTAAGGAAGAAGTGAAGCAGGCTGTTGCAGATGATTTGAACTCAACTCATTCATCGCCTTGTGAGTGGTTTATATGCGACAATGATCAGAGTGCTACAAGATTCTTTGTAGTTCAGGTAGGTAACATCATCCATACATTAATTTCATTTTTTATATTAAAACATTACTTTTTGGATATGTGGGAACAGGGGAATAAAACGTGCTCTCTTTATAAGAGTTGCAAATCTATCGAGAGGTGATTACATTAATGCATTTTGCATTTTGGACAGTGACCTTACATTTTTAACTAGTTGTTTTGCCATTGCCCACACTTTCACAAGACCTAACTTATTTTGTTTGCTTGTTTTTGGCCCCTTTTTCTTTGCATTTGGTTTTACTCAAATTATGGCTTGTATATGTAGGGATCCGAGTCATTGGCATCTTGGCAGGCAAATCTACTTTTTGAGCCTATTCAGTTTGAGGTAATTTTTTAACAAATCTGTTGATTTGCTGCTTGCAAATCTTTATGTGTTTTGTTTTTATTCGAAAATTTACAAGATGCTCATAGAAATGGCATCATATGCCAACTTCATCGTAACCTTTTTCAGACAAGAGAATCAGGAATGTTTAACATCTGTACTTGGCATGTGGTTAAATGTATCATAGAGGAATGTGATAAATGTATTTTCTCTTATTGATGAATGCAATACAATCTTCTTGGTTTAGGGATTGGATGTTCTTGTGCATAGAGGTATATATGAGGCTGCTAAAGGCATGTATGAGCAAATGCTGCCTGAAGTCCGTTCCCACTTAAAATCTCATGGCAAGCATGCAACTTTCCGCTTCACTGGGCACTCTCTTGGTGGCAGCTTGTCACTATTGGTAAGTCTCATGTTGCTGATAAGAGGTGAACTGCCTGCTTCTTCCTTACTTCCTGTTATAATGTTTGGATCACCAAGCATCATGTGTGGGGGTGATCGTCTTCTTCGCAAACTTGGGTTGCCACGAAGTCATGTTCAAGCAATCACAATGCATAGAGACATTGTTCCCCGAGCCTTCTCTTGCAATTATCCTAATCATGTTGCAGAGCTTTTAAAGGCTCTTAATGGAAACTTTCGCCATCATCCTTGTCTCAATAATCAGGTAATGTTTCTGCATTTTCAAATATCAAAGTGCAACTTAATTAGAACATGTACGTAACTCTCTGATATAACTCTTATTATTTTGTTTTACTGCAGAAGCTATTGTATGCTCCAATGGGGCAACTTCTGATTTTACAACCAGATGAGAAATTCTCTCCACATCATCATCTCCTTCCTTCAGGAACTGGTCTATATTTTCTAAGCTGTCCATTGGCAGATGTTGATAATGAAGAGAAGCTGCTTCAGGCTGCGCAGAGAATTTTCTTTAACTCACCACATCCACTTGAGATCCTAAGCGACCGCACTGCATATGGTTCTGAAGGAACCATCCAAAGAGATCATGATGTGAATTCTTACTTGGTATCTGTTCGAGGTGTGATTCGGAAAGAGCTAAATCGCATCAGGAAAACCAAGAGAGAGCACCGGCGCAAGGTCTGGTGGCCCCTGGTGTTACCTTGTGGCATCAATGCTGGTATCTTTCTTGGGAGACCTGTTGCAACAATCAATGTGGGCCAAGAACAATTCAACTTTGCTGGCGTTTTGCAAACCGGGAGAGAGTCCTGGAAACGGTTCAGTAGGCTTGTTGCTTCACAGCACATGCATTTGCTAGTGATTCTTTTGTTCCCTGCCAAGTTGTTACTCTTGGGTGCATACAGCGTGATCAATTTTCGCTGATCAGCATATTTGGTTGCGCATGTAGGGTTCGTTTGGAGGGAGTATTGTACATGGCTGCAAGATGGTTAGACGATTCTTTATTCATTGATTTAGAAAAGGGAAATTGAAAACGATTCATGCTTTTTCTTTTTTATCATTTTTTTAATCAAACGGAAAGTGTCAAATTGATGTATGGAAATAGTACATTGATTGTGAATGATACCAATACCAAATGAAAAGAAAAAAAAAATTGATGATACTTGGAATTACGAGTATTGCTCTACTAGTGGAATCCTTTTTATGTTTTGTTTCCTGGGGTTCACTGGTAGTTAATCTTGACTTTTCCTCAACAATAGTTGCCCCAATCTTACCAGTTTTACCCGGATATGGTTCATGAAAATGATAGTCATGAGTGTTGGGTTATGCACATACGAACGTGGAGTATAATTGAAACTTGAAAGGAAGAAAGATCTTGCTGGGGTGCTATAATTATTGTGAATGATGTTAAGCTTGGTGGTGGTGTTGAGTGAATCAGATTTATTTAACCATCAACAAATATCTGAGTCACTACACCAATAATTGAATCATGCACAAAACGTGTCACCAACAAGCAAAATATCACTCTCTTAGAGTGAACGCAATTTGCCCAAATCACTCGAATCAAGGGAGCTTCTTGATTTCTTTGGAACTAATGCATCTTCCCTTAGACCTGGAACAAGCTGTTATTTGCTGGCTAGAATTAGCAATTCCTGCTCAGATTCTTTACTTTTCTTCGTGGTCTTGCAATCTTACTCCCCAATGGCTGTAATAACCCACATTAAGCACATGTGAGAGATTCTCAGAAATCGACAAGCCATGAACAAATCTTTTTTGTCCTGCTTAGGGCTGCAGCGGAGAAAAGGTTCATCTACTGACAAAATAGGAGTCCCCACAGAGCCAGGTCCAAAATGGCTGTGATCGTTATGCCCATCCATCCAACAAGGCAAAAAGTCGGTCAGCCTGTTTATGGATGAACCAAGACTACCTGGCTCACCCGAAGCTCAAAACTTTCTCCCATAACAGCGCGTTGCAGCAGCGTCTACGTGTGGACTTCCATCGCCATCCGGTGGTTGCTTTGCTTCGAGGTTAGCGAGTTTGCTAGAACAACGGCCTTGATTTTCCCTCTCTTTTGGATTTGATACAAGGGATGGCAGGAAGCTAGAAAATGGGACGTGCACCATTGTGCAAGAGACGCCAAAATTCATGAATGTGACTTAAGATTGGCAAGGGCTATTCATGGTTAGAGCTTGTGGTCGAAGAGGAGGAAGGCCAAGAAACGTAAACAATCAAATGAACACTAGATATCGACAGGGAAGGACCACCTTCAGCGACAACTACGGTTGAAATAATGTACACGACAAAGGAAGTACGATGGCATGTTGTAGAAGTGGTTATTCTTTTCAACTCAATAAAGTTTCAACTAATTACTTTTACGACACATTTACTCGTGAGAATGGTCATCAGAAACATTTGTTCTTTGGTTTGGTTGTCAAACATTTTAAATATTTTAACAAATAGTTATTCCTCTAAAATTTTTATTTTCAAAAATTGCCTAAAATGAAAGGATAATTAATACTAATTTAGGGTATTTGCTCTTTCATAATTGAAGAATAATTTTTAAAAATGATAAGATCAAAAAACTTTTTATAAGTTTGAAAAATTAGAACCCTATTTATGTAAAGACATTTTTTCTCCCTTCCTTTTCTTCCCCTGTTTTAGCTTCTCTGTTTTTCCTTCTCTATAATCTTCCACCCACCCCTGGAGGGAAGCCGCAATAGTGGAAGTGATTTTAGGGACAAATTTGGAGCTCTTCATCCTAATTCAATCGAGAAAATGTTAGATTTGATGTTTAGGGTTTGATCGAGTGGTAGAGAGCATCAAATCTGGCTGTAAAGTGCCACATTTAAGCAGTATTATTCTAGTGCCCTGTGACCAGATCCGACCACAAAGAGCAACAGATGGATGCACTGTTTTGCCAAGCACATCTCCAATGCTCACCAAATGAGAATAAAGGAAAATGAAAAAAACAAAAATTAAAATAAAAAAGTTAAGCTTTTACTTATATATTACAAAAATAATATTTTAAATTTAAAAATTATTTGAAATGATTAATATTTTAATTATAATAATATTTAAAAATAAATAATCATATATTATAATAATCAAATGAACTTTAGATATTGATAAGGAAGGACCCCCTTTAACAAGTACAACGGTTGAAATGATACACAAGAAAGGAGTGCAATAACATGTAGATTATTCTTTTCAACCTTATAAAGTTTCAAGTAATTACTTTTAGATTATTCTTTTCATCTTTCACAGGTTTGCGTAAAATTTTAAACCCATTTATTCATCCAGCGGAGGCAGTAGAGAAGGAATTTGCATAGTATAATTCCTAGAACTTTTGAGATCAAAATAAGACCCAAAACCACGAGAAAGGGCCACGGCAGAGAGAGATGACTGTAAGCTGGTTTTCTTTTACGATGGGCCGATTCACCCCAGGATCTTTAACTGCGGTTTAGCGGGCGTCCAAATACTTGGGTTCAGATGTCAATCCAAGGGGAAGCATCGGACGGGATAGAGTGAGAGTAATGGAGTTGGGTTATTTCTTTTGTTCTGATGTTCGTTGACATAAGGCCCAAGAACAACGACCACCACAGACTTGGTCATCGAAATGGATGCAACATCTATCTTCAAGAATAACATGCAACGCAAAAACCGTTTCTTCAAGTCAGTTGAAGTTGTTGAAACTTGGAAATGCAATCGATTTCTTGAAGATTTCTATACGTGCCCACACCAACCTCACATCACCAGCGAGAGTTTGTTAGGCACCCAGTTTTTTTTTTTTTTTTTA